AGGAGGGGGATTCTGATGCAGTTCAGGAGTGGAAAATGGATTTTTCCAGTTCAGATGCTGTCAGTCACTGTGAAAATATCAATTGGTAGCCTCCCCAAAGAAGAGTAAAGTATTAGTGTAAACCTGCTTATAAGAGTGTAATATAGGTCAGAGACCACTGTGTCCTGGGCCTGACCCTGACCCATCTGCACAAGCATCTATAGGCTCTGTCAGAGTATAGCTATTTATCAGGATTATCTATCACCATCTCGAAGCATAAATGGGATAAAGCAGCTGCAGTAATTAATAGAAACATAAACTGCAAAATTATAGTTTCCAAATGCATAAAACATGAACTCAAAATGTATCTTCAAAATCCACACATTGCAGTGTGCTGGCAGCCTCACTGCCAGCTGGCAGGAAGGTGCTGTCAGCACTGTCATGTTCACACTTAGCTTTCTCTTGAACAAACTCAGCTTTTGCTTGGTCATTTCTGCAGTGTGCTTTCCTTTCTGGAAGCTCATGTGTCAGTTAGGCAAGAAGGGAGCAGCACCCAAGGTGTGTGCTGCTGCTTGCTGGTGGGGGTGCTCTGGAAGAGATGGGAGGTTTTATGCAGCAAAGACACTGTTAGATGATCTGATTTGCATCTTTCTTCCCTGCAGAAGCTGGAAATTGTTGCAATAAGCATCAGAGCATAGTTCAAAGCATAGTTTCACTAGTGATTTCAATAGCAGGTAACTGTTGGGGGGCACATATGTGACAGGGGACTGAGGGTTTGAAAGAAGTTATTTAGAAACAGTCAGTATTGTTCATTAAACACAAAAAATACAGTTTACATATTTATCCCCATAAAATTGACAAGCACAGTTTGTTTCACAGGAAACTGTCAGTAGTATTATTCTTCAGGGGATTTGTTTTTGTTCCTAGAACATTGTTGTCATGTAATGGTTTGGGAGAACAATTGATGTACTCTAAAATGGAATATAACAATAAAGAATAATTGAGAAAACTGGCCGTTCAGCAAGGAGCCCTTTGTTTCATTCACAGATGAAGAAATAAACTCGGATAATAAGATGAAAACATCTCAGATTTGGAGTAGTACAATGGGGAGAGAAGCAGTGGAAAGCTGGTCCTCTGACTGCATCTTTACATAAAGATAGTTATTAATTTCAATCAGTGGGGGAGTGGAGAGGGGAAAAGAGGAAGGGAACTGCTGCAACACCAAAACCCAATCATTGAACATGTTTTACTTCTCAAACTTTAAGCCCTTTGGTGAGTTTTGTAGGGAAGAATCTCTTTTTTCATTTTTTTTAATGTCTGATTCCCTAAAGCTAGACATATCAGTCTAATTTTGATTACAGAAATAACCAGGTGATTTTTCTGTGTGCAAATAAATGCATTTGCAACGTAGCAAGGCCATAAGGAAGGAAGAGCTGAGCACTGGCTTATAAGACCTGTGTCCTCTGGTTTGGAAACTGCTGTTTCTGACCTGCCTGTTTTGTTCCTCTGCTGTTCCCCCAGTAGAATTTCTGCAGGTGCTTTCAGTAGAGAAGAAAAGAAAGGACCTCAACAGAGCAAACCTAAGATCCAACCTCTGTGAGGACAGAGGGATATTGTGCAGGGTAGTAGGGTGCTTCTAGTTAACACAGGTGTATCTAGTTAACCTGGAGGCAGGTATTTCCTTGAGCACAGCTCATGCATGGAATTAGACTCTACAAAGGGAGGACTTCAGCATCAAATTCAACCCAGGCTGGCCTGGTGGTGGGTTGGTATGTGCACAGAAGCCATCAATGGGGGAGATTCATTTTCAGAGGGAGTGTGCAGGAGCCAGGACTGCCCCTGAGGATCAGAATGGCTTTTACTGCTACAGTTTGCACCCAGGAGGTTGCTGTCATGTCACTGGCATATTTTTCAGGTTTTAGCAGAATTTGTAAATTTAGGTCTTGCACTAGAATATGCTAAGAGATCTAATAGCAAGCACGTGCCCTCTCAAGCCTGAGGAGATTTTTTGAAATGATAATCAGTGGACTGAAAGATTTCAAATGGTAAAGAATCCAGCATGTTCCAGGGTGGATCCTTTTGGTGGTTTTCTACATGGTGTTACTTTCAGTCTTAGCTCATGTTCTTCTTCCATTCTCTGGAGTGAGTTGCATGGGGTTTGTCCACAGCTGAGGTCTCAGCACCTGCTGAGCCAAGATCATTAGGGCTGCAAGAAATCTTTATTGCTGTCAAGAATTTTCTGGAATTTAGCAACAAAAATGTGCCTTAGCAAGCTTTTCTTCTTTTTCTTTCTCTTTGTTTCTTCTTATTTAAAATAAATGGCATAGAGATTAGCATCACTGTGAGCTCCCTGAAGCAACAATCCTGTGAGTCTCAGTATTGCCATAGCCCCTGATTCTGCAAGTGCCATCTTGGCTGGAGCATCAGTGACTCAGCTGGGAAATCCCAGCTACTGCATCAAGCAAATAACCAAACTTTCCATCGGGGGCTGTCATAGCCTGAGATGCTGGATGGAATGGGCACAGAGGGAAGCTAAAAGCAGATATCATCAGTAAATTGCAGATTTTCTGTGGTCAAACCAGCCCTGGCTCAGCAGAGCTTTTCCACCTCTAGACATGATTGTGACATAAATCCTTGGATCATAAATCACATTTCAGGAGAAAGGCTTCGTTATATGATACGTGCAGCTCAGTGCATTAATTTCTTGACTGGAATAAGCCCTTGCATTATGTCCAGATTGTTTGTCATATTCTTTTTGCTATGAGAAACCACCATGTCTTACTGTCTCTTGTGCAAAGAAAAATATGGGCTGTTTAGTTAAAAGATAAAGAAATGCCTTATTATTTCAGCTGATGTTCTTTTTATTTTTTTGGTACTCCCTCTGGAGTGAAATGATGTGGTAGGAAATAAAATACCTGGAGTTTGGAAAGTCAGCTCTGATATTCAATATATGTAGTCTGCAGGTCTACCAAGCTCTCCAAGTGCCTCCTAGGTGGGGAACCTTTGTAATAGTGTAATAACTGGAGACCTCTTGTTAGAAAATGGGTTGATGACCTGCCCTTGGAGTGAGGGGTGTTGCTGGGGTAACTGAGGAAATTCTGATGAGCCAGTTTTATCTGCTTTAATTTCGGTTTTGTTGTTTGTGCCATTTATGTAATGAGCATCTTGGTCTTTAAAAATGTACCTTTTGATAGCTGGGCTTGCTGGCTAAGCCTGCCTTTCTGCAATAAAAAAATTAATCTTTTTTTAAAAAAAAAAGAAAAGGCAAAAGCTGTCTGGAGAACCTCAGTAAAAGTCATATTTCTTTTTTTTGACTTAGCATTTCAGACTAGGTTTTTCTGGGTTTACTTTTGGTTTTTACACTAACATATATGTTAAAATGTAGCAGGACTGCATCAGGCAGGTAGGCTGTTCCTGCCCAGGGGCATTGAATGGTCTGCACTCTTCTTCTCATTCATCTGCCTCCCAGACCCACTGTCCAGCTGCACTCCACTGCACTATTACTGTTCTTGATTTGTTCTGCAGTGGTTCTGAGAGGCTCCAGTAGGAATCTGCAACTGTGATGCTATGTTTTGTGTCAACATATTGAGATGATCTCTGCATTATATATTCACCATCCAAAAAATTCTAATGCAAGTTAGAAATGACCATCAAAACAGCTGCAATGGTTCAACCAAAGGTCCATGTAGCCCAGCATTCTGGCTCCAGCTGTGGCCATAAATAAGAAGCCTAGCAAAGGAAAAGAGCTGGGTATTTTATATTCCCCCACTTCTTGCAGGTCTCCCAGCCACCAGCAATTCCTCTTCAGCTCAAGGGATTTCCTTCACCCTCTTTTGCAGTCCTCAATGGGTCCATCTTCCAAGTGCTTTGCCAGTCTCCCCTCTGAGCTCCTCAGGAAGCTTCTTGCATGCACAATGCTCTTCAACAAGGAGAGCTGCCACAGACTGTGTGAACCATTGTTACCTAGTTTTGAACTGATGGCTGATGTCTTTTAGGGACAGGGAGCAGCCAGTCCCCACCTGCCCTCTGGGCTGATTGGAGACTGTTGTCTGCAACAGGCTGCAGCATCCCAGCCTGCTCTCTCTTGGTCCTTCTATGGCAACTGCTCCAGACTTTGATCATCCTCCTTGTGTCTCTCTGAACCTTTCTCAGTGTTATTTTTTTTCTTTCTTTCTCTTTAGGACAGATGAATTTCTATACTTGTTCTCTGAATGTTCTTAAAGGGTTGTTCTTGCTCTTCAGTTCCATTAATGTCAATGTTACTCCAGTTGGAAATATTTCATTTCTGGGAAAAGACTTCATTAAGTTGCTTTACTTCATGTGTTCCAAAAAGAAATTGGTCTTCAACAACTAGCAGTGTTCATTAACAACTACATTTCTTTTTCTTTCTTTTTTTTTGGTGTGTTTTGTTTTCAACTCATTTATCTTTACTGGTGCTCACTTTTGAAAGTGCTCAAAACTGCCTGGGGAAATAGGTTTAAGGGAAAAGTGTTGGATATTACTCTGTTGATTTTTAAGGACTTGGGATGCTCTTAGCTCCTTCAATCAGTTGTTTTCTTAACTCCTGCTGTGTGCTGGGGTGGATACCAGTGCAAAGTATAAAACTTATTTTCTGCCATGTTCAGCTGTATTGGTACTTCCGATGGGAGCAACCTTTGCTTTCTCTCTGCCCAGTGAGTTGTGAACGCAAAACTCCACCTTGATTCTTCTTCTTCTTTTTTTAACATCATCTGTCTTTCTCCATTTGCTCAGACAAATAAGTGATAAAAGGGAAATGATGATCTGCTTAACACCACAGGAAGAAAGATGCATTATGAGACAAGAGAGACCTTTTGTTTACAGCGAGTTATTCTTGGTAATTAGCCATTTGTAGAGGAAGATGAGCCTCCGCTCGTAAAGTCAGCATGCCATGATTTAGGGCACTCTGAATGGAAGTCTAACATTTGCCTCAATTGGAAATGTTAATTGTGTGCACTTAGAAATAAATAATTGGCTGTTTGTTTGTTTTTTTGCCTTTGCAGGAAGCAGACTGAAAAAAGACCTGAGGTATTATCTCAACCAGAGGTTTCAGAAAGGCTCGCCGGACCACGACCTGCAGCAGACTATCAGAGACAACCTCTATCGCCATGCTGTGCCTTGTAAGTAACAAAGCACTGACCTGCTGGGCTACATGTAGGCAAATTTCCTCAACTCTGCTGTTTTTATTACCTTTGTGTACCGGTTGATGGTTTGATGCACGTCTCAGATGCTTATTTTGGTGAAAAATCCTGAAAGAAACTGTTTGTTAAGCCTTAGAAATAGTCCTCGTTAGTGTCTTGATGGTGAACGTGTCTTTATTGGCTTGAAACCTATGAATTAAAAGCCTCCTTTTTTTTTGCATTTTCATAGCAGAGCTTGATTTCTCATGCCTGTGTAAGTTATGAAATGGAGCAGCATTTTATGGCTGGGTGCCATTGTAGCAGGCAACTGCCACTGGTGGAAGGTCATCCTGGATTCAAGTAGAAGACGAGCAGCTAGAGCTGGGGAAGCTGAGAAAGAAATGCTCTTTTGCACTAAAAAATACCCAAACAACCAAGAGGAAAATTGAGAAGTTTGGAGGGTGTTGATTTTTGGAGGTTCAGAACGTTTATTCAAAATGGGTCTGTTTAGGAAGAGTGGAGAACTGTCCCACTTCATTGCACCTGCTTGGCATTGTCCAGCTGCCAGGAGAACCTGTTGTAAAGAAAGTGCTTTTCTGCTTAACTTGAAGCTGTGGGGATAACGGTGTGCCTTTCAGATAAGAAAGCTTGGATAAGAACTAGTAAACATCTTAGTCATAGTGTACTGAGATAACCAGCAAAATATTTGGAAGTGTTTTATCTCAACATGAATCAGAGGTGGTTTATCCTGGTAGACGTGTAGAAATACTGAATTACGACGTCGCCGCTCAAAAATGGGTGTTTGCCAACAAATGTCACATCATGGTGTGTCAAGTAATAGTCACCTGGAATCTGAGTGTTGCATGCAGGTGTACTGTGTAGGACCACAGTTAAATTTGTGTGGTAACACAGGTGAATGTTGATCCTTCAAATGGCAGATGCTGTTTATCACTGTTGTGTTTATTCTCCTTTTGTCAGCAGAAAGCACAGGCTGAATTACGTTTCAAGTGCTGTGCATGGACAGAAAGAGCAAATATGGATGATTGTTTTCTATCAAACACTTCTGGTTTTGATTTTGTCCACATGAAATATGATTAGTTTTCAATCATCATAACTTGCCAGGCTGCAGGGTTTTAAAGCATCCTGCAGAAAGTGCCTTCTAGGAGAGCACACGCGGTGTCAGGCTCGGGAGATGCCGTGTTGTGGTGCTGATGTCCTTGTGCCTCTGTGTTATATTCCTATTTTCAAAGCAGCAAATAAAGCAAATGAGCCTAAGTTCTGCAGAAGCATTTTTGTGTTACCAAGGTTACATTTTAAAATGCTTTCCATTGATTGTTTTCCCTGACCTATGGAACTTTTGGCGGTGAGGTGAACCACTTGGACTCGCTAAAGACCTGATATAAAATGAAGAGCAGTGAAAGTGATTCCTGCCTTTTAGAAAGAGCTGGGGGTGATATGGGTTGTTGATGTATTAATATGAATATCAGTATTTATGTTCCGTTTATGAAACAAATGGAAAATCTCTGAGAAGTGGAGTTAGTTATTGTGTGTCTCCATACTTGCTGAGTTGAAAAGCAGGTAGCATTTAATTTTTTCGTCGCGTCCTCTGGCAGGGGGGTTGGACTCAATGGTCTTGGGAGGTCCCTTCCAACCCCTAATATTCTGTGATTCTGTGAATTGGGGATGGTATTAGCAGTAGCTTTTAAGAATGATGCTAATATTCATATGAGAATTTGAATGAGACTGCTGCATGCACTGTGTGTTGGGATGCTTTACAAGTCTGGAGATTAATCTGTACACTCATATTTTTATTCCTTGGTACACGTGACCAGTAAATCCAGAGCCCAGGACCAATCTCTAGTGCTAATGGATTATCAAGTCTTGTATTTTGAAAATGGAATTCCCTGCTGATTATGTGGTAAACATGAACAGGAACACAAGGTCACTTGGACTGAGCATGCTTGGCCCAGCAGCTGCTTTTTTGTCGCACTCATATAAGGGCTAAGTGATAATTAGTGAAGGCAAAATAGAGAAAAGGTGATGTTACCAGCTCTTCCCAGAAATTCTAGTAAGAATCCCATGAGGTTTGACTCTGCCTAGCTTGGTGCAGGTGATGAGAAAATCCAGAGGGCTCCTGTTTCCCACACAGCCATGTGCCAGTTGTGAGCTTGGCTGACTCGAGAACTGAGAGAAGATACAGTCACAGCTTTTGTAGAAGCCAGAGGTCAAGCAGAGGGGAGGAAAGATGCAGAAAGGTTGACTTGACCTCATTATTTCGTATGACAATGACTCGCTGCTTAAGCATTAATTAACTTTTTACTTTTAGAGACCTGGTTAGGAATTTGCTCTATTTGGAGGTGAACGATCCAATGGGAAGAGGGTGGGATGGTGCCAGCCCCCAAAGGGCATATGAGCATTGCTTAAATAACACAGGGATAGTTTTCTGAGAGGCCAGAGGACTTAATCTCTAAATGCAAAAGCTGTCTTAGAGAAATGAGACCTTGAAATGGACCCAAAAGTGAAGTATTATTGAAATAACTAGATGAGCCATGTGGTTATTTTGCAAGCTGAAGTATTTCCCTGCTCCTCAATGCCCTCTGCCCCTCCAGCTTGCCTCCTCTGAGTCTTCATACCCTCAGCTCCCTGCTCCCCATTGAGCTGATTTTTTTCTGCAAAGAACTGTAGTAAACAACAGCTGTGACAAGCTTCCAGGTGGCCTCCAAGTTTGGTTGTCACACTGTTGTGAGTGCTCTGCTGTTACTATCACACCAAAGGCACGGGTTTATTTACAGAGCCAAAGCATTCTTCCTCTGGGATTTACAACTGAGCCAGAGTAAGGAAGAGGCAGGGCAGCTTATTTATGTATTTGAATGGTGCATAAGTGCTTTTGGAGCCAATGGACAAATCTTTGAAAGAGTTCATGTCTTGTCATAGCTCTTATTCCAGCTGAACCAACTGTGTGTTATTTCCTTCACTGTCTCCTGATGCTCTTTTCACTGTTAACTTCACATGCTGGGTCAGGGACTTAAAAAAAAAATTTCTTTAAATGATTATTTTTTTGTCTTCTGCCTAAGAAAAATCTGCACCTTAAACTTGAGCAAGGTTATTTTCCTTATGTGTTCAAGTAAATGACTGTTTGCATTCCTAGCACATAGGATTGATTGTCAAAACAACTCTCCAATACATCATCCAGATTAGCAAGATGTTGGTCCAGCCCCTAGTGATCCCCTTTGCCTCGTTCTGTTTTGAAGCACCACATTTTTCCTGTTTTCTGATGTGCCTAATGAAGATCACCAGAAATAATGCCCTGTTTGTGGGCTAGTTAATGGCTTCATTGAGCTCACAGTAGCCTGTGGAGTGGCAACATTTTCATGATTACTGATTGGCCATGACTGCACCAGAAGTGCTTTGACTGATGCAGAGACTTTGCCCAAAGCTTATTTCTAGTGTGGGTTTCACTTATTCTAGCTCAGTTTTGCCAGCCTAAACATTTCAGAGCAAAAGGACAGATCTACCGAACATGTAAGGCATCTTGTCGAGGCACCTTGTGGGGTGTATGAGTCCACCTGTGGTAAAGAAGTTGATGTGACTTGCATCAATTACACCTGTTGTGGGGGGAAGTTGAGGGTCACTGATGTAGAGAGTGTGTTGACATGTTGGCGTTTGGTTTCACAGAGTGTTTCATAGAAGCAAAACTCCTCCAAACAGGATTGGTGTGATGTGAAGATCTACTTAATGGAAAATGTGATTGGTTGGAAGTATGTGTAAGAATATACCCATGAAATAGCTGCTTCCAAGTAGCCTTTCCTTGGGATATCTGTGCAATTGAGAAAGATATGTGAGAGCAACTTCTGGCCATTTGTCCTAGTTGCTTATTCCCAGCAATCTGACAGCAGTTTTCTTTACACAAGGTATCAAGAGGAATCAGAGAGACAATATTTCCATAAAAGCTTATCTCATCATGTGTTGGTTTATTGGGTTTTTGTTTGTTTTCCTCTGAGGAATTTCCTTGATTCTCCCCTTGTTTGAGTCCTGTGTGACATGCAGAGGCAGCTATGGTGGGTCTGGCACCTGCAATGTTACTTGCCAAAAACAGTGTACCAGGTGTGAGTGAAAAACCAGATCAGTGGTCCCCTCCTTCTGCATGTATATTCTGTGGTTGTCCTGGTTCAGTGCTGTGCTGGTCCTTTCTGTGCCAGGCTACAGTTTTCTGAAGCAAAATTCTGGGAAGTGCAAGGTGTTTCTGGTGAACCAGGGCCAATGCAGTGACCAGCCTCCAGCTCAGCCTAGGAGTCAGCCTAGATGCTTGGTGGCAATCTTTTTTTTAGTTCCTCTTCTTGCCAAGATTGGCTTTTGAAGCCTCAGGAGGTGGTCATTTAACAGCTGATTCACTTTCCCCAAACAAGCACGTGCCCTGGGATTAATTGGCTGGAGATTGGAACGTTGGAGATTTGCCACTTTCATTTCTGCTGTCTGTTCTCTCTCCTTCCTGGGGTTTGATGTCTTCCTTGGACTTCAATTGCAGAGCAGTAGCTCCAACTGTTGTGGTTAGTCTTACAGGGGGAGCATGGGGCAAACCAGAAAGAAATGGATAAAAAATCAATATTGTAAGTGTTGGGTGATTTGTAAGGAGGCTTAGAAAATGGCAGCAACACCCAGGCACCTGGCTGGCCTGGGCTCTCTCACATTGCAGGGGGAAATTGGAGAAGAAGTATATATAAGAATATTCCAAGGGATCTGCTGGTGCAAAAGAAAAGTCTCCTTTATAAGGAAAACCAGTAAGACTGAATAGGGAAACTTCACAGTATTTATAGGTCAAACTTTTAGTAAGTGGATGTAGAAGAGCAATTGAACCTTATTATCTGGATTAAATGTTTTAATGGATAATTGAACTACCAAAGGGTAGTTTAGTTGCTCCAGGAGTCAGATAAGCTGCTACACACGTAACCACCATCATCTGCAGCTAATGGAGGACCAGGGAGACTAAATGGGCTGGGGTG